CACACTTTGTATTTGCGCGCAATTGCGGAAAATCAGAGGCCACAAAGTAGTCGGCTGAGGCGGCGGCGCCAACACGTCCAGTGGAAATGCCGCTGGCGCCTCCAAGGGTTAAATCCTTGGAGGTTCACTTGGGGCTTCCCTTGCCCAGATCTCGTTTCCAAAAATTGGTCCGAGAAGCATGACCTCCTGCTGTCTGACGTGTCAAGCCCAGCTCAACCAGCAACCATTCAACGCCTCGGCTCTTCAACATTCCGCGGCCCACCCCCCTCCCCCACCCCCCTGACCCATGTCTGCTGGCCCTAAGATCCTGTCCGGCGGGCCTTGAAATTTTCGAGGTTCCTCGCTAGCCCCAGCAACCACACACAGCCCCCAGCCAGCACACACGCGGTGTGTCTGACCCAGCCCCACGCAGCGTTTACAATTATACCCAGACCACAGTGCGGTCACAACCAGTCTCTTGCAACAATGGGAAAGTAATTGAGCCAAAAGAATCCAAAAGATCAACCTGCCTCATCCTGCCTCATTCAAGCAAGCGCATGCTTGCGCCGGGTGCCATGTATGAAACAAAACGCCTAAAGCCTGGGATTTGTTCACATTAGTCGGGCTGCTTAGTCTGCCCCTGGGCTGCGCCTTCTTGGCGCAGCTGCGAACGGACCTCCAAAAGTGAGCACGGACAAAGCAATAGCGTGGAGCTGCGAACGGCCCTCGGTCAAGGTCAGAGCGTGCTTTAGGTATTCACCGGCCGCTTCAAGGCCGCGCGACTGCGTCAATTTCAGCAAGATGTGCAGCTTTGCAGCTTTGTAGTACGCGCGCAGCCACTGGCCAATGGCTCAGAAACACCCCGAGGGCTCATACTTTGAACATGGTCAACCTGGGCCAAACCGGCAGGCACGACCAGCAGCTGACCAGCACGTTGGCCCAGCGGTTCGGATAGGACATCTCCCTGAATGAATCCGAAGTTAACAGGCAGCCGCATTCCCTGCCTCAACTGCTCCTGAGATCCCTCCGGATCCTGAGGGTCACAGTGCCCAACCGCAATCAGAATGCAGCCAGCGAACGGGGGAAGCTATTGCTGCCCAGCAGGTCATGATTCCGCTGGCATTAGCTCAAACACCCGAAAAGTAAGGATTTGTCGGGAATCCAAATGAACCACCCAATTCGTTGGCATTTGCTAACGCAGAGACCAGCTGAATCCAACCAGACTTGGTTCATTCTCACGCCTATGTATTATATGTATAGCATATGCATTCTTGGATCTTCCAAATCATGGAAGTTTAACGTAAAATTCAGATGTGTGGGGGTGATTTACTCTTTAGGGCGGGTTTGGGCGTGCTCAGGATGGGCTTAGGATAGGTTGGTGGTGGGAGGTGTTTAGGGTCGGTTCGGGGTGGGTTTTAGGGTGGCAGGGATCGTTTATGTGGGTGTGGGGGTGGTTTCAGGGTTGGTTTGGGTTGGTTTAGAATGGGGCCTTGGGTGGGTCTAGGTTTAGGATGTTTTAGGGTGGGTTTCGTTTACAGTTCAGGGGGTTTGGGTGGGTCACTTGCCTGCCTTCCTCCCTCCCTCCCTGCGTGCTTTCCGGGTGGAGGAAAAACCATCCCAAGCCAAGGGAAGAAAACTCCTCAAGTCCAATAGATGGCCCTGGTAGATGATTAAACCACCAGGCCATCTATTTTTCCACCAAAACAACCAAAAAGGACACCCATGCTCAAGTCACGTAGCCCCTTTTCCCCCCTCCCCGGTTTTGACCGTCGCCTTCTCCACGTCCGCGGCCAGGCCCGAGTTGAAGAACTGCACCGGAAAGGCCCAGGTGCTGCTCTCCCCGTGAAAGCGCGCCACGTAGAGCAAGACGTGGGACCTTCGGAGCTGATGGGGCGGGCCCCAAAATCCACAAAGGGGCGAAAAGGCGGGCTGCCAAAAAGGGCCGTCCCCAAGCAATGAACTCTCAAGAGGCTGGGTTCAACAAAAAGGGGGGTCCATCTTCCTATGCGCCAAACGGATCCGGCCCACTACAAGTTGTTTGCTGGCTTGGTTGAAAGGAACTGAACGAACCCAGTCATGCCAAAATCTTTGAAACGTTAAGTCAAAAAAATGCCGCTTACGCGCGGAATCCAAAGGGGCTCAGAACAGGATTTTTCATCTGTTGCTATTTGTATTGCGGGAGTTCTACTACTGAGGAGGAAAGTGCAGTGATTGGTTGGTTGGCTGGTTGGCTGGACCTGCCTTGGCTTGGCTTGGCTTGCGTTGGTTGCATGAATCCAGAAACGACCATGTAAATGGCCATTGATAGAAAATGCAAAAACAACAGCAGTCATTTTGGACCTCCTCTCATTGCCTTGTTGGCTTGCCTGCATGTACCCCCTGCAAGTAAGCTACTGTTCATGATTGGTTCGGGGGTTCCCTGTTTTTGAGTACCCAGAAAACCCTGGCCCAGAATTCCCCGGTTTCCCTGTTGGGAAACCAAACACCCCTCAGTTTAAGTAGACCTTATCAAGAGACTGAACCCCCGGATCTTGGTGTCCATGGGCTTGACTTGAGAAAGGACTGAAACGGGCTTCCCGTGGGTTTTGAGGACTGCAATCAGATTTGTGGGTAAGGATACATATTGACACCAAAAGTGAGAGAAGTGACTGCATTCTTTAGAGACTAATCATATTCGCCAAAGAAAAACATACAGCGAACCCTTGTTCAGGATATTCGCCAAAATCGAATTGCGACATGTTGATTAGTTGTTGGTATGGGGTTGGCCAACAACTTCATCAGGAATCCTCACATTATACACCTGAACATTGCCTTGTAAATGGTGGTTTCACTTTATTTTGGTGGAAAAAGCCATGTTTCAAATGGGCAAAATGTATCTTTTAAAGAGCCCTGTTCATACTAGAGCAATTGCCAATATTTATTCAACCGAACGAGCTAACGCGAAGCGTCAAAAAAGGCAGTTGGGCTTTGCGGCCGGGGAATATCTTTTCGGCAAACCGTGTGATACGTACGAGGAGCAGCATGGGTGGAGGAACAAAACATCCGCCCAAAGTTATGGATCATATCTTGGCTGGAACTAGAACCCCAGCAAAATATACTATTTTTGTTTGCCTGGTTAGTGGAAAACAAAGGGGACCCCAAAACAGCAACAAAATAAAAGGGGAACTAATTCTGGGGAAGATATTATGACTGATTGGTACGTCATTATATAGAGGTTTCCACATAATTGGGGAACCCATGATGATGCTTGGTTTCCTGTTGGTTTCCCTTTGAACACGCCCCCCCCCCTCCCAAATAAAAAATACGGGGGCCACCCCAGTTGTAAAGCGCACCCCTATCTTGTTTTTCTTTCAGCGAGCATGAGCAAAAAGCGAGTTCTACGCAAACATCCCAATGTCCAACCCCGTGGGTACTACGACGTGTTCGGCATGAGTTCTGTGTTCGGAACAAACCACAGCTCCTGCTTTGTAATTAGATCCAGTCCTGGCCAATCACCAATAAGCTGCCCCGAAGCATCCCTCAAGCTTGGAGCGCCTCAAGGTCGATTCCAAATATGATTGGGCATCATGCACAAAAACAAACAATGGAGAAACAATCCTCGGGGGAGATGTTGTTTTGCTCCGTGTTCCGAGAAATCGCATCTGCCCCACCACACACAAACAGCTGTCCGAAACAGCTCTTAGAAGTTTGTCTATTGGGCCCTTGTTGGAGCCACATTTAGCATGGGAGTCCCATGTAGGAGAACCTAACTCCCAGGACCTGCCTCTAAAGGGTCCAAGAGCGAGGCGCGCGAAGAATCTTCACCTGTGGATGCCGCCTCCCTATCAAACACCCTCCCGAAAGGACGTGAATCCTTCCCCCCTATCAAAAGGAACATACACCAGATCCATCCTCTTACAAGCAAAAAACCACGCTGTTCCCTTTCATTTCTTAAAACAAAAACAACAACCGCAGGATCACCTCCTAAAAGAGAAACCAGTCTCACGCCTCGCCCGTCTCCCGTACCGCTTGAGCAAAGGGCTCTTGCCAGGCGAGTTGGGCCACCTCTACGTTCCCTGTGGGCTCAACGGCATAGAAGTCCAGCACCCAGGACACCTGCGTCTGCTACGCCCAACAAGTCGTAGTGGTCAAGGGTGTCTTTGGCGTTTGGTGGGAGGGGGAAGCCGCTAACTTCCTCCAAGCTGCCCCATCCATGCTGCGGGAGAAGGAGTTGAAGGTCCAGGTGTAGCTAGCGGTCACCTCCAAAATTGAGTCAAGGCTTCATTGAACACCAAAAATGGTTCCTCATTGTTCAAGCATTGGTCTTTTCGACAACCAGCAACAGCCAGCCGTTTCTCCAGCAGAATAAGCAACCCCTGAACAGAGTGGGGAAGCCACCAATTAAATCACATTCAAGGGAAAGCTAGATGAGGTATGTTCAAGCAAAAGTGACAGTGGCAAAATGGTGATGACCCCAACCAAAATATGTCTTTGGGAAGCAGTGCTCAAGTTCGGGGGGCGGGGAGCCCACATAAGGCCTTGGGTGGTGTCCTTTTGGTTTCTCTCAAAAAGACAAACCGGCCGGATGGTTTCCTATTGGTTTCCCTGAAAAAGAAACGGGGTCGCCTGAAACAAACACGCACACACACAAACCAAACATGGGCCTCATCGATGCGCTGGGGCACCCAAATCCCTCGGAAGATCAGAGGGTTGTCGTCCACCTCCTGGCGTGTTCGGGCGATGGCGACAAAACCAAGGGGCGGGGCTTGGGGGTTTTGGAAATTTGGGCCAACCACTAGTTTAAACGTGACTAAACACTAACTTGTTTAAACAATCTTCAGCAGGAGGCCAGGGTCTGGCTGTTCAAACAAATGTTCCCCAACCCAGTTCTCTTGAGAGGAACCATTTTGGAGTGTTAAAGCAACATCTGTCAAGGAAGCACCCAGTTGGGGTACCTCAGTTTCACGACGCACCCGGATAGGCTTTCCCGGCAATTGACACAGGGAGTTCGGGTTGTGGCAGAGAGGGCACCCATCTCATAAGCCGATTGCCTACAAAGACCTCGGCGAAGCGCGGGATTCCCCTTTAAGGCCCAGATTCCGTCGGGAAACAGAGATGGGGTGCTTTCTCTGCAGGAGCTTCCAGGGAGGTCAGAACAAAGCAACGCCTTTCATTTGCTCCAAAAACAAAGGGAGGAGGAATATGGCCATGGGTCAAAATCCCGTACCCCCAGTGAACATCCCACTCCCCACTAAAATATACAAAAATGGGTGGTGCACCTACCCCAAAATGGTACCATTGGTTTTGACCCACTGCCATATTTTAGCCAACATCTGGACGAGTCGGAAGCGGCTTGCATGGGACCTCAGGTTTCAACTCAAGGCTCACGTTGCGCGACTGGCCAATCGAGGCCATGGACCCAACAGCATTGGCCACTGATGTCGCCTCCGTAGCATCCGCTTGCAGGCCACCTAAATCACAACTCTTGGAGTATATTCACCATTCTTTCCAAGATCCTTTCCAGAAAACCTCCAATCACGGGAACCGGCTACAAAATCGGTGGTTGAGCTGGGGGGAGCCACCGAACCCCCTCGAACCTCCAACCCTGCGCCTAACCCCTAGAAGCGTCAACTTCAAACATTCAGCTCAGTTCGTACCCCTTGAACAAGTCGGACCCTTGGCCCAGCCAACCCTCCCCCCCCCCGCGCTCCTTCACCTCAAAAGCTGCTCCTCCCGGTCCCGGTGCTCCCTCGCTTCTCCGAGCCGTCGCCATCAACCCGTCCAGCCCCTGGGCGCCTCCGCTCGCCGAAAGGGAACTTGGGCTGCAAATTCCACAACTCCGAAACCCCCCGAAGACCTCCCCCTCCCCCGCCCCCCCTTGTTGTTCGAATCCCCACCTCCCCCCAAAAAAAACGCGATAAGAGTTGGACCCCCAGGTAATGTTGACCCCGGATTAATACACCCCAATCTATTAATAATTGGCGGGGGGGGGGGGGGTTCCCTGGATTTGGTGGGGATGCATCACTTTTGGAGGGAACACCCCCCTACTAATAAACTGGGTGTGATGATCTGGGGTCAGCGATACAGCAACAAAAACAACATCAAGCTCGATTTACCAGCTCGCAATTTCGGCAAACCCTGCGGCCTCTGCCTCCGCGCTTGCCCGACAGGCGCGCCGCATGCAGCGCCTGCAGGCCCCCCAAGAGTGCGAAGACCAGCACTGAGTAGGACAACCCAGCGCCATCCAACCGCTCCCGCACTGGGCTCGCCTCGGAGCCAACGCCTAGAAGACTGGGGAAAATCAACCGAAACCTGCAGACTGCTATGGGAACATGACCTGTGAGGGTGGTTTGAAGGGGGTAGAAACTTTTGGGTTGGTTGCAAGATTAAATAGTGGCAAAGAAGAACCCTCCCCATTTTGGAGGTTCCCCTGTGAGTCAAACTCAAGTCGAGGAAACAAACATTCCGGAAGGCGTCGTGTCACAAACTCCGGCGAGGCCCTTTCAGGGGAACCATCCGGGCTGAGAGGCTCTGCGGGCGGCATTCGCCAGTGCAGTCCTTCCATGTGCTTCAGGAGCCAACCAAAAAAGACCACATTTGCTGCACATCATCTGCTGCAAATCATGACCATTTACTGCAGCACCACAGCCTAAAGCAAGAACACTTCGAGCAAACGGACCTCATCGGATGAACAAAGGCATTAACCTCTAGTTGATAGATCAATGGTTCATTATGGCTAGTTTCCAGGGACCCCACCAAAGCAGTCCAGAATCCAGAACCGCCATTTGCTCACATATGCAAGTTTACAGTTTTACAATAACTCCACAGCCTGAAACAAGGCGTCTTCAAGTAATTCAGGTCATCATGAGCTCTGTTTCCCACCAGGCGAGCTCGTCATAAAGGCAGATGGAGGCTCGCCGAGTGGCACTGGGAGCATCTAGGCCCCGCATGCGGCGAATCAGCTCATAGAGGTGAGGGCTGTCCGCCAAGTACAGCCGGAGGGGCAAACCCACAAAGAGCAAGCCTGAGGCTTCTGCTTTGTCTTGATCTTCGTCAATCCGCGGGACACCATTTTGAAGATGGTTTTATGAAGTTTGAGCACTAAATGGATTCTCAGTGGCCAACTACCGGGGCACAACACGACAACACCCGGCTTCCGTGTGCAAAACGCACATCAAGTGCGCACCCTAGCGCGGCCGTAGTAGAGAAACTGTCTTCGGAATCAATCTGCATGAATCAGTATCTCCCCCCTCCCCGCGAAGATTGAACAAAACGATCCCTGAAGCCGGCCCAGCCCCCTAATTTGCTTAAGAACTCAATGCTAGCCTCTCTAGCTTTCGTTTAAAAAACGAGTTCTTTCTTCCACTCTGGCCATGTATTCATGAACTTCGGCGTGGAAAGGACTGCGTTATGTCTGTTTTCCCCAGAGTTTGTGGGCAGTCTTGGATGAGCATCCCACGAACCTCTATTTCAACCCATCCCTGGAAGGGCCAAGAGTGCAAATGACAGTCACATATGCATGGTCATTCAACCATGGTATGCCTTGTGAAGGGTAAAGAGCACCTGTGTTGCTAAGGCTGGCTCTCTTTAGTTTGAGACTGGGAACGCCCCAAAAATTGATCACACATGGGGGGGTGACCATTATTGGACTTATCCCCATTTCGGTTTCCTTTACGGATGGCACATATGCTGGGTTTCTAAGTAGGAACCCCGTAGATTTAAAATGGGTGGTTTCCTTGTGGCGTCCCTTCAAATACCGAGCCGAATCACCGGCTCCTTTGCCCTGTTTCATATTATACTATTTCGTCTTGCTGGTGCGATAGGTAGAATGCCAATTCCGGGTGTTCTTGGAATGAACCGTTTGGGGATTCCCTCAAAGGAACCACCATTTAAATTGTCTAAATCAAAGAGGGGCCACCCTGCGAATCTTACCATATGTCCAAAACCTGAAATAAGGGATCCCCCAAGAAAAGGACCTTTACCAGGGCTTTCGCTCGGTTTACCCCGAATCGGTAAGCTCGCCATACATTTCTGACCCTATGCCACGGCGCCCCGCTTCATGTGGGTGAAGCCGTCGAAGGGCGGGAGCCGTGTGGCGCCCAGCTGCTCCGCCATGCGCACCGTGTCCTGAGTGCGTTGGGGCTTCGGCCGATCTTGAGGCAGTCAAAATTGTCGTCGTCTGGCTGTGGTCAAAACCGTTTTGGTATCCCATTTTGGGGTAGGTGAATTCCCCACCCATTTTAGAACCTATTTTAGTGGCCATCTCAATGTCTTTGTTGGAAGGTGGTGCGCCAAAAGCATTTCCCACGTGCGGGAATTGGACAATGGTTGGTGTTTGTCCGCCCCTGAACCAAAAAAAACACGGGGCTCCAAAGCACACGCACACACAAACACACACTTTTCAATTCCTGAGGTACCATGGTCTCAAAGGTCTTTGAGGTGTATCGGCTACCAAAAACAAACAGCGCACACACCTGGCCGTAGCCGAATGAAACCCTCCAAGCCCTTCCTCCGATCCCACAGATCCGTCCTCATCCCAGGCGCCCGGCTGCAGAGTCCAGTCGTGGCGCAGGTCCTTCCGATTCTGCGGTGAGTAAACCTCAAACTATGCCTCTCCCGAACACGATATGTTCCCAACAGTATGTCCCATGTTTAAGACTTGTTTGACCTGGGGATTGCCTTGTTTGGGGGGAACTCTCTTTGGTTGTTTTTGAAGGAAAACCAAAAGGACAACTACTATTGTGGAGGTTCCCCTATTTTGAGACCCCCCATATGTTCCCAACATGATCTATACACATATATATATATGGTACCCCCCCCCTGGAATACTCAGGTTTTTGGCCAGAAATTGACATTTTGGCTGTAAAAATGCATGCAAAACACACGGTCCAGCTTCTAAAATGAGGCTCTAAACATGCACTCCTTTTTAGACTGAAATTCTACCATCGGTACTTAGTGCAATCCAGGATGTGCTAGCACGTGCTAGCACATCCTGGATTGAAGATTGAAGATTGAAGATTCTCAGACCACTTGTTCTGTAAATCTTCAATCCGTCCTTAGGACTAACTGATATGTGCTAGCACGTGCTAGCACATCCTGGATTGAAGATTGAAGATTGAAGATTCTCTCTCTGGGATTCTTCAATCTTCAATCTTCAATCCAGGATGTGCTAGCACGTGCTAGCACATACCAGTTTGTCCCCAGGATGGATTGAAGATTTCCAGAACAAGTGGTCTGAGAATCTTCAATCTTCAATCTTCAATCCAGGATGTGCTAGCACGTGCTAGCACATCCTGGATTACTCTAAGTACATATTTGGAGAATTTCAGAGAGAGTTGTCAGAGAATCTTCAATCTCCCATCCAGATCCTGGATTGCCTTAAGTGCGGATTTGAAGAATCCAAAAGGCAGACCGGGAGCGCACGCTGTCAGAATCAAAATGTGGATGTGCACTTGCACTGCCTGCAATTGGCCAGGGAGAAAAATGTTGCTGACACCTTTACAGTTTTTTTGTGGACTTGAGGGCTGGCCCGGATGGAAGATTCTCAAACAGAAAATGTGGTAGATCTTCAATCTTCAATGCAGGGGGCGAAACCTTAATGAGTCTAGAACAAACTGTCAAGTTTTTGGGGGACCAGGATTGAGTATATTCTAAACATATGTTTGTGGAATCTTGTATATTCGATGTTCGATCCAGGGCAACGCGATCTGATCAAATGCAGAAAAACACTGCGTTTTACAGCACTTATGCAAATAATAGGAGTCTATGATTGAAAACACGTTCCTGCCATTGGCTTGGCTCAGTTCTTGTTTGGTTCAAGCCGTATAAAGTTCGATAAGGACAATAACCCTTTCAAAATTGAGTCTGATTCCAAATTCATTTGGCCATGACAATAGCTATCTTCTCCAGTTGCTGGTTGAAATGCACAAGAAGCTGCAAACGAGTAAACTTGAATTTGCTTTGAACTCGAAAGCTTTGTTAACCGGATATTCTTTCCTTACTTGAATTTCAATAGTTGTTATTGGCGATGATGGAGCCAACTTAGACACGCAACACACACACACACACACGTGGGATAGTTGCTTTGCAACATATGTTTCAAATAGACTGAACTAGCATGTCAGGAATTATGCACAACACTCGAGTTAACATGTAAGTGCAACTGCGCAAGGACATGAATTAGGAATGAGTTCCTTTTCCCCGAGTTGATGTTTTGCGGAATTTCGCTGCCAAACAAAAATAATAAACACAAAATAATTACAGGCGCGTTGAAGCTGCCAAAACATACTTCGCGCACTACTCCTGTACTGAACAGTTGTGCTTTTTGAGCTGGAGCTGCCAAATTGCACTTTGCATACTCCAATGTGACTTTAAGTGCACTTCGCGCACGCCAATGTGACGGTCACACAACTCGCAACTCCTAATCACCGTTGAGCTTAACTTCTGCTTGGTCAGAATTTGCATGGAGTTGAGTGTCTAGTTCATTTCAGAGTCTCAAGGCATTTGTCACCCCCAGTCTGGCCAAAAACCTCAGTTCTGTCGAAAAACCTGAGTATTTCAAGGGGGGGGTAGCATATATATATATATATATCCCGTGTTTAAGGGGTTGTTGACCTGTTTAAGGGTAGATTGAAGGTCCAGGTACGATGTTAAACATTCTTTGGAACACCCAGTCGATTCATGCACACAGATCTAGATGCAATTCAGGTCTACCAAAGGATCATCAATTAGATTTCATGACATGTTCCCCACGTCCCAAATTGTATGTTAAGCGTGTTTCAATTCGATTTCAGAGAGTCACCCATCGTTTTCCACATTGTGGCATTTCACAAGTGTGTCGTTCAAGGGAATGTTTTCCTTGTGAGTCATCGGTGTTCGATGCAATCTGCAAGAAGCGCTGCTAACATTAACACATTCTTCTAAATCTGCATGACATCTGCGTGACTGCAACTTCGACCCTTTCTCACATGGTCTTGAGATGATACTCCAGTTGCAACCACGCAGAACAGCCTTTTTTGACAAGACTTTGTCTTCTTTGGCATTCAAAGCGCAGTCGGTTAATTCCTCCACTTGCCCAGACTTAGACCTACCAAAAGTTAGCTTTCTACTTAGGAGAAATAAGGACACCCTCCATTTGGCCTTCATGTCCCCAACAGAAGCAAAACGCTCGAGGTCGCACAAAAACGCTTGGCTTGCGAAAAGCGCCCTTTGGAAGGCAACCCTCAGCCTGTTAAAAGGGCCAACTGCTTTTTGTTGAAGTGCAACCAATCCCTGCGCTTTTCAGGGGCCCCATCCCCCTGTAAACAACCTGAGTCCCAAACCTCCGGAAACGCTTTTCAGGGGCCCTCCAAAAACCATGAGCCCCAAACCTCCGGCGGAAAACGCCTCCTCCCCCCGCCCGCCCGAGGCGTTTGTTGTTTTTTGTTTCGGTCCAGGTGCTTCGTGGCCACCACCACCTTCATCTCCAGCCGCAAAATCACCTGACAGGGGCCCAAGATACATGGGATGGGCGTGTGTGTGTGTCAACAGAAGACAAGGCGCCGCCGCCGCCCCCCCCCCCAAAAAAAAAAATACAACATAAAACGATAAATATGTATACAGTAACCATAAAATAAAGCTTGTTTTGCATTTACTCTTCAAAATGAAATAGCCAAGAACAGACACAGTGGACAGGGACAAGCAGCCACTGGCAACTCAGGAATCGTCAATTACTTGTGCATGTAGGGGTATATCCTAAATCTGGTGCATGTAATCATTTCACACCATGGCCTTTTTATACCTATCATTTTTTTTCAGCAACCCTGACACCTTCCGAAAGGCTTCCGCCCGCGAATGTGAGGAAGTCCACTGGATGAAGTGGTCCCGGAGCAGTGGGCCTTCGAAGCGATCGGCAGGAAGGTAGAGATGTGGGCTGGAAAAGGACAGCGATGCATCCGTGGGACCAAGCCTTACCTCCATCTGCGCCTGGAAGCAACTCACATATGTCCAAGAGTGATACATTCCGTTTCAGTTCAGGTCAGAATGAACAAACATATGGCCATGGCTCAAAATCCAAATCGTACCCCCAGTGAACATCCCAATCCAACCACTAAAATAGGAAGCCTAAAATGGGCGGGGAATTCACCTACCCCCCAAAACGGGATTCCAAAACGGTTTTGACCACCACAGCCATATTCTGAAGCAAGTGGACGCTGGTCGAAACCAGCTTCCAGGTTCGGAGACCACGGTCCTTGAAAAGACGTCAACGGCGTGATGACCTGAAGTGAACCCAAAGGAGACGACGGTAACCATGAAAAAGAATGAGAAGGGCTTGCCTGAACTTGTTTTTGTTTTCTTCTTCTTTTTTCATCTATATACTTGGATGTGGATTGCGGCTCAAGCTCCGCCATGAGGATAGTAAACGTGGGGCTGGAAACAATATGACTGTCGCGAATCCTTTTTGGCCAGGTGTAAAGGCAAACCAAAAGGGCACCCACCATGTCCGGCATTCCCTAACTTGAGTCACCCTAAAAAATGCTGTGCATATTGGCTCATCGAAAACGCCGATGAGCATGAAACAAATTTGTCGCTATCAGAAAATTCCTGGCAGTCAGAGAGGGTTTCAACCCAAAGGCTCCGATCGAAAATTGTTGTCCACCTGCAAAAACCAAAGTGAGTGGCCGGTGTTGATCAGTGGAGTACCCATGTCTCACGATCAGATCGGGGTCAATAGGTTTTGGGGCTCGACATAGGTCCCGTTCAGTCCACCCTGTGAATGCTGATGGACCTCGCCAAGGAGAAGGGGAGGAATTAGAAGGTTCTGAAAACCGTTCTGTCCCTCCTGGGCATCATGTTTCCCCCTTCAACGTCAGCCCTAAATGATTCGCCTTTCCAAAGGATGTCTAACAACCAAATCACCAGCTCCACATATTTCGGGAATGGCCATGTCGTGAACCACACGCCTTACTTGGGATCCATGGAGCCCCGATGAGCCCCGTGCTTCTGAGAACTTTGTTCCAGATCCGATCCTGCAAAGTCGTCCAGGCGGTAGCGGCGGCCCACGTGGTCTCGGGGGGTGTTCTCGATGAGGTGCTGCCTGAGTTGCGCTGACGGGCAAATTAAGGATACCCTATAGCCTATAGCCACCTTTCAACTGGCCAGGGGCTTCCAAAACCTACCATCCTCTTGGAAAGGCTCCTGGTCCACTTCCAAGTATAGGGACCTTCATCTTGGCTGAGCTCGTTTCTAGCCTGTGAGTGGTTGTACTCAACCGTTCCACTTTGCACCAGTTGGGATTGGTGGTGTGTCAGCAGTTGGGGGGCTTCATCCATCCAAACTGGTGCAATATGTTTCGCCCATCCAAATGGGATGTTTCCCGAAACACCTCCTCAATTAGTGCCAACCATTTCCGATTTGGGTATGACTTCATGTGGGTCCCCCCCCCGGTCACCGGTCACCCACTGGAGGCCCCCGGTCGTCCAGGGCGCATGCCCTCCATGTAGCCCTGCCCTGCCACGAACTCGTGGCTCATTTCTCGCACCATGTCCACCAACCTCCCGCAAGTGTGCTCCCAGCGCTGGAGCCTCCCGGCCGTTGAGGCTACTTGGCCACGTGCTCGGATGCGGAAAAACGGACGCATGATCACAGTCCCTTTTGGAAGCCACAAGTGAAGCCTCAAGCAAGCGGAACCATTCAATTTAACACCCCTGGTTTCCGGATGTTCTTTCTACAGATGTGGAACACGGATGCCCCTTGTCATACCGAAAAGCTTCCGTCCCTAGGACTGACTATGTGGCTAGGGATGTGGCCTCCCTACCTGGGGTTGGTTTTGGTTTCCTTTTAGACCATCAGGATGAACAAACACGCATGTCATGTTCAAGAGGCTGGCCACAACTCCAAGCCATGGTCTGTGCCTGCTTCCGGTGTGGAACCCCGGGGGTCGAGGCAGATTCCCGGCAGGCTCCGGGTAGTTTTTCAGGAAAGTTTCCCGGCAGGCTCCGGGTGGTTTTTCAGGAAAGTCAAAGAGAAACCATCTGGGGGGAAGAGAAACCACCAATTTGACAAACCCAAATGGTTCCTCCCTGGTAATAACAGAACCACTTGGAGGGATCTAACTATCGAGCTGGATTGGACATGTTTCCCTCACTGGCATTCCTTAGGCTACTTGCCAAAACCCATTGTCTTAATCTTCCAATTGATTAAGTCTCCTGGAAAAAAAACATATTTCCACTAGTGACAGATTTCGTTAAAAACTAAAGTGAGCACAGAGCCTTAAGCAAATGGGAGTACTGGCTAACCGTGGGTGGAAAAATCAGGGTGACACGTGTGATGGTTTCAGCCCAGCATGCCTGCCAGTCAACCGGGCATCAACAACTCTGCTAACTCGGGAGAAAGGCACCGGGGGTTCCCACTTCTTTTGTACACAAAAATGAGACTGAGTCCGTTTCATGGGTGTCTGTTTTGAGGCTACCCTGGTTGGGCCTATTTTAAAGGAAACAGGCAAACCACCATTTTGTGGGTCCCCCTTAAAAGAGACACACCCATACTTGGCCACCATGTAGAATCATCTGGGGGCCCCTGGCTTGACTTGATCTTCCAACACGGGGGTCAAATGTCATGCCTATTCAAAACTAGGTCCTCCAGTAGAGAGGCTGGAATAAGGGTACCCTTTTTTTCCGCAGTCGATTTTAGTAGGGGAACCCTCCCCAAACAAAGGGTAAAGGGGCACTGGGGGACCTAGCAAATTACCCCGCTTGGGAAGGCTGCTGTGGTTCAACTGCTTCAACTTGGTTGCTCTGCTGTTTCGAACTTGACCGACCAATTCCGCCGAGGATGACTGAAGGTGACTAAAGGTCTTTGGCAGGCCCTATCTCTCGACTCTATACATGGCTAATGGTGTGTCCTTTGTCCGAGAAAAAACGGAGCAGAAGAACCGATACAAACTGCAAAAGGCACATCAAATCCGCTTTCGAGAGTATAATTTAGCCAGCCGCCCTCACTCCAGCCTCTGCCGCGTACTGTCTATAACTCGTGGATCTTTGCCACGATCACCTCCTTCGTGCATGAATGGAGTACAGCCCCACGCGTCAAACTAACAAGCCTTCTCCTCCCCGCCGTTCAGACGGCATTTGACAATAAGTAAACACAACGAAAGCAACCAAACGACACAAAGGTCGTGCCTTGGACGGACTCGGCAGTGCTTTCTTGGCTGCATGGGGCCTTATCCCTTTTCAGTTGCTCAGGCCGCCGATGCCAAAGGCGGCCACTCCGCAAAACACGCTGACGCGAGACCAAGGATGACTAGACGCCTGCCTACACCAGGTGACAAATCACACGCCAGGTGACATGTCAACCCATCAAATCGTCGCCTACGCGACTGCCTGCGCGGTTGTGGTCTTGCCAGTCAGCTGCCTACGTGCGTAACATGTAAAACACGCCGCTGCGAAGATCTGGGCCTTCATCCCTGAAAAAAAACAACAACAACAACAAACGCTGCCCATGTATTGAGCGTACTCGCGTACATTTTTCAGTGGCTCATGGCCTGCTGGATGGCTTCCTCAACCGTCAGCGGCAAGCAAAACATGATTTCACATTTCGTGGTGTGGTGTGTGTCTCTGTCCCCTGGCCTTTTGCAGGGACTTGGCCAATGTCCAATGCTGATGCTTCCCAGCAAAAAGTGAGGCTCCAATTTCAAACCATGAACATGTCCCAAAGAAAGGAGGAGGGTTCAGGCCCCCCAACAAGTCATGCTGCAAAGCCAGCTAGTGCTTCCCCATTTCCCCTTCCTCTCCTTTTGTGTCTTTCGGTTTCCACTGTGTTTGGTTTGGTTGTGTTGTTTATCCCTTTCCCTTGCCTTTCGGTTTCCCTTTCAATTGCCTTTTCAGTGTTTTCGCGGCGTTCCTGTGGCTTTGTTCTTCTCCTGCGATTTTGGCTTTCCTTTTTGGTCCCTAAAACACACTCACCCAGCTTCCGTGAAGCACAGTCAGGGGAAGGGACAACGACAACAATGTCTTTCAACCATGACTTTGCGGGTTTTGCAGACGCACCCTTGCTCGCATCATTTTGGAGCGCTGCACTCTTATGCTGGAATAGTTGTTGCCAGTGTCAAACCATCTCGCCTTCGGTCGACGGGCTCGGTACAGCACGAGCCGCAGCGCATGGTCCTGATCATTCAGCACCCTCTCTCTCACCATGGAATCTGAAGTGATCTGCCCAGATCAGTATGTGTTGCGAGCTTGTCACAAAAAACCCAAACAAAAACAGAATGGTACCCCTTCGTTGTCGCGTGCATCCTGCTACAATGGCTCCACAACTGCGCGCCCTTTCACATCCGCCTTTCGCTGGGCTCGGCAAAGCCGGCGCTGAATCGCAAGGTCCTGCTCGATATGCGGCGAGTCCAAATCGCGTAAGGTGCCGACCTATTCCCGCACGCCCTGCATTTGAGGTCCGCATGGTCCGCCTTGTTCATGTGATTTTACCAATCCATGCTCCTACCAACCCGGCGCCTTGTGAAAACACACTTTGTCAGGTGCCATGCGGTTATCATCTCTGATTGGGAACTCCCTGCCCCGAATTGTCCCCTTCTCCGTCCTGGCCGCTGTGTCTCCGAGCACTTTGTCTCCCGAGGTGACACCTTCGCCTGCTGGTTGCGGTCAAGAAGCTCATCGAAAAGTTGGCCTTTAGCCCCACTTCGGACAGGTTTGGCGACCCGTACGGTTGAGAAAGGGGACTTTATCTCTTTGTTGTGCTTTTCTTTTTCTTTTGGTGAAGGGGAGGGGGGGAGGTGGGAGGGCGAACCCACCAAACAGAGAGGGAACACGTGTACACCTGAACAACTCGGCATACCCCCACAAAGACTGACTCCTACTTGGTGTTAAGGGTTTCTAAGAGCTTTTCCCAGGCGCTGTGTGTCCTGAAGCAACTCCAGTCTGAAATCCTGAAATAATGGGCCTTCAGGCGAATTGGGGGATTGAAGTTGGCACCAAGAACGAAGTGGAACAATTCGACCCAACATCCTCCCAATTCGCTCCGAGGAGGCAGCGCTTCCAAAGCCCCACTCGTGCCCTCCAAGCCTCCTTCTTTGGCCCGGCCGAAGCCAACTCCAAGGCATCGAAGTCAAACGCAAACATGGCGTCATTGCAGCCGTTTGAAACGCAACCAAGCTGTTTGTGGCCAAACAAAGCCAAACAAACTGTGGAAGTCACTGTCAACCCGTGCTCCAAAATGCTTTGAAACTATGTGCATGAACCGGTCAGTGATTGGCCCTGGTGGGACAGCCCTGTGGAACAAAATCGAAGTTGAGCCTGTATGCTTCTAGACGGTGATTTTGGATACGTAAACAACCGAACGCCATCGGTGGAATACGCGCATGCGTGGCTGCCAATCTCCTTTCAAACCATAGTCGTCGAGACGTCAGTTGACTTCCCCCATGCCTGGATGGCTGTTGACACAGAGCCGGAAGGCGCGGGCAAAGGCAAACTGGCTCGACATTGGCTTTGTTTTAAAACAGCATTGCTCCTCAATTGAGCTCTCCCGTTGACAATGCCTCGGGCCCCGGCATTGTATGCCACACCTTTGGAGGCATCGAAGAAGCTAGAGGTCTGCGTTGCCAGCGTGTAGGTCGTCCTGAGGTGAAGCTACAGCAAAGGCAATGGCTTCGTGTCAGCCCGTCAGCTGCGCGCCCTCGCTGCTGTTTGCGAGCAAATGTAGGCTTTCACGGTTTGTTCGCTTTGCGAGGGCCGTCACTTGATATTCTCGCGTGCCACACCGACACGGGAGTCAACTTGGTTACTCCTTCTGAATGGTCGCAGGCTTGTCTCAAAGACTAAGCCAATGTATGTCAAGGAGGGTTGTCAAAGAACCAACCGAGGCTCTGCCTGGACGTGCGGTGATTCAAAGTGACTTGATGGATAGCGGATAGCGAGCTTCTGACCCACCGGCTTCCGACAGTAAGGTGGGGAGGACATCAAGGTTTGATTAGCTGCTGCCACGCAGAAGCACGAAAGTCACAGGGCGGTAGTGGCAATCATCAATGTCCTGCCCCAGGACCCACTCGCATTCATTCCGCTTCCGAGTACCAATCAATTGGAGAGCAAGTCTGGTGCGGGTAGCCGCGGCAATTCCAGCTCCAATAACGTGTGTCTAAGTTGTCGCGGTTAAACATGTAGATAGATTTCTGTTCGGGCAGCTCAGCCTTGACATCTTTCCGACAAAAGAGTCTGCACGTCGCTAAAGGCACAACTCATGCGCGAAAAGTCGAGCAGCGCCAAGCACACTTGAGGAAGTACAGCCTTTCAAGCACGCAAGGCTTCCATACATTGGCATGGAATAAGCAGATAGGACCCCAGTTCTCTTGGTTTCTAATTAAAGCTGAGGTATTACAAGGGTCCATCGGGATAGATGGGTGGCATTTGTATTCTACTGTTAGATGTGAGATATCAGGTGTATATCCCCTGGTTTGGGGCTAAACCCTGCAACTCCGAGAATCTCATCTAGCACGCGCTGCGGGGCAGGGATTCTCTTGAGGTAGATACCAACACAAGCCACGTAGGCCAAAAACATCCGCGCCAGATCTGCAAATTCACATGTGGGGGTTGTTCAAAATAAAAGTTCCTGGAAACAGCCCTTTTGCCGGCCTTTCGCGGTCCTTTCGCGGCCCCATGTTTTCCTTTCGCGGTGACAAACCAGTCCTGAAAAACTTGTTTCCGAGCCCAAACGAGGGTTCTACCATGTATTCGTTATGTTTCAAGTCCTTTCGCGTTCCTTTCGCCGGCCTTTGGCGATGCAGTGCTTTCCTTTCGCGCTAGACCTTCAGAACCTCCCTTCACTTAATTTTAAGACTGGCAATTTAGAACAACTCCCATGTAGATCAAGGTGCTCCAAAAGGAGGTCCTCCAAACATCATGCCGGGTTCCAGGTCAATCAGAGCAACACAACTCAAAGGAACAAACTACTCAAGTCCCAAGAGATATGGTGGGTCGATTGATCAGAGGAGTAACACCTTTGAGCCATTTCAAGTCAACTTCAGGTTGGGATCACGGTTCGGAGCCCGATTCTCAGCACAGCACATTCGCGTGCCATTGACCTCAGCGAGAGATGTGGGCGTGTCTCCTTTTGAGGAGGCCCCTTTTGGAGTTGGGTTAAAAAGCCCAAAGGCAGCCACCTTTTTCGGGGGCGCCCTGTTTTTTTGACACACATAGCGATTTCTTTGCCTCGGCCCCTCTCCCTTTCCTCTGATTCACTGGCCCTGAAACTCTGCTCGATCCATGTTCGGCCCGGCTGACCGGGCCAAGTTCTCCAGTCAAGCGGAAAAAAAAATCCTTTCCACTCCGTCCCGCCAAGCTTGGACAACTCCAACAAATATCTCGGCGAACGCCCAATTTGGGATCCGTTCTTTCTCCTTTTTCCAAAGCACCACCAGGAAAGGGCCCTCTTTTCTTCCGTTTGCTTAGGCCTGGACAAAAATAAGAACATGTGTCCAGTAGACTCCGTTTAAACCCAGCAAGGGAGAAAAAACAAGTTCTGAAGCAACTGGATGTTTTTTGGGGCAAAACACAAAGCACCCGCCCACGCTCGCTCCGCGCGCCGGGGCTCGGGCGCTAATGGAGGGCGCCACGAACTCGGCTCTCCTCGCGGAACTCGACGCCCCAGGCGGAACTTGGAGCTGGTGAAACAAAACGCCTGGACCCCCAGCGGCCGAATTTTTTCCAGCTACTGTTGCCAAATGTTTGGGCTACTGGTGGGTAGAGCGGCTGGAAAAAAGTGGCTACTTGGGGATCCAGGTGTTCGAGATCTTCGGCCAGATTCATCCTTCCGCTTGTTTAAAACATGTTTTCCATATTTTTCTCCAGATCCATACTTCATTTTTCAGCTATGCCAGATCTTTGGCCAGAGTCATTCTTGTTGAATCCAACGGTTCTCTTCCAGCAGCCTCCAAGGGTGGCTTCTCCATTTGTACCCAAAATGGGTCTTACAAATGGACCATTATTTGGAGGGTGCTGGTTGCTTGTTTGGCGTCTCTCTTCTCTATTGGGGTCCTCAGCTCGGCCAACTCCACCGGGATCCCGGGACATGGCATCCGAGTCACTGCGAAAAGGCGCCGAAGCCAAGCCCAAAAAATCCGCAAACTGCGATGACCATGTCTTCCACCTGGGGCTGTCAAGAGTAAGCGCCCTTTAAGCATAATGTTGGTGGTATGTTGCTCCGAAGACTGGGACCCAAGAAATCCGAGAAGGGACCCCCCCCTGTTGCTGGAAACCAAGTCCCCGATTCTCCTTGTGACCCTGCCACTGAGCTCGCTGAAGAGCGGTAAGATCTCGAAGAAGAAATTGAGACCACACAGCACCTCAGATTTGTTGGCGCAACCGCGTGGCATGCTGCACCAATAGAATTGATTGCTTGTCCGGGGTGCTGGAGGACAAATTGGAGACGACCTTGCCAAGATAAACCAAACCACACAAGTGGACCACTAGTGCCCCGCGTTTTTGACACATCATTTCAACATGGGGTGGTTTCCTTTGGTTTTGGAGCATCACCAGTCAGTGACAGCAGGGTGTTTGCTTCCAATTGGACTAAACAAAAGGAAAGCACACCTTTAGTGCCCTTATACCCTAGTATCGATCAGTATGGCTTCTTCCTCAGCATCTGCTTGCAATGTTTGGGTGCACTATGAGTCGTTGACGTGGCCACGTAACACGCCTGGACAAGAGCATTCATCAGGCAGCGGCGCACAGACGTGTTCTGCGTGTTTCCAAAGCAGATTCGGTCATCTGGAAGAGGAACTCGACTTGGTGTGAACAAAAATAAATAAAAAACAGCAACCTAAAGGCACGGTCTGCGAATGGCGGCTCGGTATCGACAGATCCATCTGAGTACCGTTCGGGGCCTGGAAGCCCGGAACCTGGGCTTAGCAACACTTGCGGGCTTTATCCATGCACCGAGTGCAGCTCACGCAGAACCCCAAAAAAATGGAACTCAGTGTGTCTTGGTTTGGGCCCGCAAAACAAAACAAGGGACAGCCTCTTACATAACGGAAAGGTGCCGGGTGTTTATTTCGACCCAATTGGTGTGGTCCCGCCCATTCCAATGCGAGCAATGGAAATTGGCCAAACACACACCCCAAGCAGAGATTCCTCTGAAAATTGTCTAGTGGTTTCGTAGAATCCAGCTCCCAAAAATCTTGGACATACACGGAACATGAGCTGCCTGCAAGCGAGGGCACTGCGTAAATCAAGGCGTACTTGGCCATCTCAACCATGCCGTCGCGCAACATGATCCAGCCTTGGCATTGCATTGCAGGCAAAAGCAACCACTCCAGGCAAACACAACACTTGATGCAGGAGAAACGCCGCCCTTTTCCCTTCATGCACAAGTCGTATGTGTTCATCAAACAACTTGTTGAGCCTACCAACACGACCAACGACGCCTTTCAACACCTGCACCTGTTTGACGAAAGGTTTTACTGGCCCGTGGCAGCAAAATACCGCGGTCGAACCACCAAGGTGATAAATACCCAACTCGCCTAGCAGCAGCATGTTGGCACCTTTTGTGCCTTCCTTTGGTCTGTCCCTAAAAATCGAGCTTCACCTTTTGGGTTGGCTCCCTCCAAATTCATTCCCAAAGTAAGACTGCTCATTCCCCCTATGACCCAACTCGTTTTCGCAAGAAAAGAACTAAACTTCCATGTCAATGTGTAGAAGTTAGCTTAATTGTGAAAAGCACATGTGCCTCGACAAGTTGCTGCAGGTGCAATGGGGGCAGCTGCAGCCAGCGCATGCGTGCTTACCACAAGCATAATTAGTACAGTAACACTTTCCCGTGGTGAAATTCGAAATGTGCTCTACGACGGAATATCATTTTGCCATTGCGAATGCAAATCCCCTTGCCAGAAATAGCTGCGGATATCCGCCTTCTTAATTCTTTACATGGTTCTGGGTAGACCATTTCCAAACCTGCTCAGCCCCAAGGGCAGGCAAAGCGCGCAGCTGTTCTAATCATGCTCTCTCTCATCATTTGTGACATCGTGTCACAGCGATACCATAAGGCCTATGGGTGGAGTTCTAGCAGTTCTCATTGCAATGGGAGCTCTGGTGGATGCCGTTTAAAAGGTGCCCAGTGTCATGGGAAGACTGACATGTTTCAGTAGTCATCGCAGTTCGAGCAGCGGGGTAAAAGCATGTTGTGGGGCGCGGCAAACCCCTATCGTAGCGGCAACCGGTTGCAATCTAAGAACGCCAGGAGAAAACGACGCCTGCGTCTCGCTACACTTGAAGCACCGCTGGCCAAGAATCGGCCATCTGCCCAACGAGTCGTCTTTCCTTCAACTTGCAGCTGCCCAACAGCAGGGAACACCGAAACCAATGCGGTCGCCGCAGCTGGTTCTTCAACAACACACCCCGAAACTTGGCGTGAAAACAGATTCCCAGCGCTGTTCCGCACGCTTGCTGCATGTTCCATTCAACTCATTCTTGAATGGTCCACTACCCAAGGGTCCATCCAACCCCTCTGACGTTCAAACTGGCGGGCAATACGCAATCGTCATTTGCTCACTTCCCCAGTGAATAACCCAAAAAAGCTCCAAACTTTTGATTTACCACTAAACTAGTCCTGAAAAACGTGTCAAGTCCAGGCTGCTCGGGAAGTGAGATTTCACTCTTGAGTTACAAACTGAGGCCAACATTAGCCTTTCCTGAGGTCATCTTGAGCTATATCCACTTGAAAAAGCCTGGGATTTACTCACCTCCTTTGAACTCTCTGGGTGAGTTATGATATTTTCACCAGCCCGAACTAAGGTTGGGGGGCCATTCCCCACATCAACCGCCATTTGGGGTGAATTCGGTCGTGTGAGGTCGTGACAAAATCACCCGGAACTCTTCGTGGTGATCACCGCCTCTTGGCCCCCTCGCCAACTTTTCTTCGACAGAACCAGTGCCGAGGGGCCGAAGGCCAGCAGCAAGACCGTGAGCATTGCCCCTGCCTCTGAGCCAGGGATTCCAACTTTGGCAAAAAACAAAACAGCGCCTGAACAACCCTATGTGCAATTTTGGGATATGTTGGGTGGTGCTACTACTTGGTTTAGTAGCGCTATTTGGCAAAGTGAACCTCATTTTCCCACATCAAACGCATTTCAAAGTCCATGTGTTCTGACGGGAGATTGTGGGCAGGAGAAGTAGTGGACATGTGTCAAAGGGGAGCCGAACTCACAAAGAACTGGTTGAATCTGTTGCCATGCTGCAAAGGGCCGCGTATGCGAAAATACAGCCAAAATACATAGTCCTCTGCTCTGGACGATTGGCAAATATGCAAAGGCATGCCCAGTAAATCTGATAGTTGTAGCACTCGGACGGGATTACCTTGGTGAAGGAGTTGAATCAAGCACCACTTCCTAGCTCTGCAGTATGAGAAAAGGCACAAATGAACCGCCCACATCCCAGCCCAGTCACTCCAATGGGCCAAACTCATCCCACCAGTCGCAAACAAAAAATAGATTTGGATGGTTGAAAGGGCAAAAAGGAAACCCAACAGGGCAACAGGGCAAACATGCTACTTGTGTGTTTTTGAGGGTGCGCTTTTTGGGGGAGATGGTTTTAAGGAACAAACACACGGAACACAGCCATTTTTTAAGTTTATTTTGACAACCAGTTTTTGCTGTTTGAACGGGACAAGGAAAAGACAGAAGGGGTTTAGATGGCTGACAAAGAACACTTTCGTGTGGGGAGCGAACCGGTACCTGGGCAGCCCCGCCATGTCCATGGCAACCACTTGCAACATCAGCACTGCGCCAAAGCCGCACATCAGCAACTTCCAGAGACATAGCTGGTCCTTGGTGCCCGCATTTGGCACCCCCAAACCACCGAGAACCAGGACACATCTATCTGGGGGAGTAGTTTGGGCATAGTGAAACCAAGCTTAAAGCCACATCCATGGTTGTCATTTCCAGAGAAGCAACTGGAAAACAACAGAAGCGGCCAACCCACTCTGTCAGCAGGTGTCTGCAACAGGCATTCCTCATCAAACTTCCCAAAGCTAAACGCCCAAACCCTCACCTAAACCAAGCCCGGTCACTGCAAATGGGCAGCCCTACGGCGTCCAAGTGCGGCGAGTGATGCACCCACCCACTCGAACAAGAAACAAAGCAAGCCAGCCAGCCAGCCAACCAACCAACAAACCAACCAAAAAACCACAAATCCAGGTTCCCCCACATCCACAGCTCGTGCATTATTGTTATATTGACAAAGCAAACACCGCTTCCTTCCACCCGGTGCGGTCGCCTTCGCCCCTTACGTACCTAGTCTGCGAGGTCGCTACTGTCAAATCAATCCGGAAAGTACTCATCAAAGGAGTGCCTCTGAAATGGAACCGTTGCCCAATGGTTTGAAGGGGCACCGAAAGGACTCCAACCTATTCCTCATGGGGGTCCCTCGGTTTGTCTGACAAGGAAACAAAAGGGACGCCCCGCCATTTCGGGATTCCCCGGTTTCGAGATCTTCACAGGCTCCATCCGATCTCCTCTTGGCCCCACACGAGAATTTCTTGAGGCGGAGGTCCCAAATGCATCATCAACTCCTCGGGTGCGATGGATCGGCCCATGCGTCTGACGTCCGGAGTCGCTCTTCCGGCGCCTTTTGGGTCAAACCAAAAGACTCAAAAGACTACCTGAGGTAACAAGCCCGGCAACCGCCAGTTCTGGTCGCGAACATGTGCAGTGTTTCGGCTTCCCGAAAGGCTAGCTCTGTACTTGGTATGGGCCGTACAGTAAATCCCCTGGATCCACAAAGGCTCCGCACAGGCAGGTCGCGTGATTTGGACAAGAAGTGCGTGTAAGTTAAGCAAGACAGCTTGGAATACGCATGCTCTCGGCAAGCAAAGGCATCACAAGTTGGCACGGAACGCCAGTGTCTTCCAAAACCCAATTTAATTTAGACTTCACTAAGCACCGTTGCCATCCACCGGCAAGCGAAAGTCTAAATTGCAGCAGAGGAGCTGGCGATACCAGCATCTCAGACCTATCAGGGTGTCAATCTTTGGTCCTTCTGTGTGTTTTTCTACTTCAGGATGGTAAAGGTCTGATCCAGGGCTTCACCGTAGCCCTAGCAAGTAGAAGGCACCACCCCAAATATCAAAACAACTTGCAAATAGGGTTGATTAGGCGCTGCTCACGAGTTTGCCAAGTGGGGCAACGGCTCAGGGCACAGCTGCTTTCTCGCCCCCAAGGCTTTCACATCTGAAGCGGAGCGTGCCTGGTCGTGCTGTCATGGATTCTTCGGTTGGCGTGCCATCTGACCCAGGCTCAGATCGGCTTGAACCCTGCGGATGCAAACCTGAATCCGCAAGTTGCACCGGAGAAATGCAACCATGCAGCTCGATACCACTGGTCTAAGGGGTGCGTAAGGGAACGCCCTGGGTTGTACCTGGAACGGTACCACCCTGAATTGTAGCTCTTCTTCAGATCAATTGTATTGGACCAATGGGTGTACTCCCAGGGTGGCAAAAACAAATCTTCGGATGGCCTCGACGCCTCGGCTTTTGTGAGATATGGACCAACGATCCAAATGGATCAGGTAAGGCGTTGCACATCTTGTATGGCGCCTAATTCCGGTGCTCTAATCGAACTATGGACATGATCGCCATTCGAGGCGGCTGGCATCTAAGAACGCCTGGCCACCCTTTCCAAACACAAACATCATCTCCATGTACATGTCGCCTTCTTAAACAAATCAACAGCCAGACTCCACGAGATAGTGTAACAATCATCTCCCCTTTAGACATAACTGAACAGCCAGCCTCCGCGAGATCCCGCATGCTCCTTCGGATGGGACGGCGCGACTGCAAGTGGCAGTTTGCTGAGCAAATGCCAACCGCTTTGGCCTGGGCAATATCCTTTAGATGTGCCCCAGGCAAAGCTCTCGCTACTTGGAAAGTTGTTGCATCATGTCAGATGCTATATTTGTCTAGAAGACAGAATATGGCTGATCATTTGAAACATTTCAACAAATATTTTTTTCTGACTCACTCGGCCTTGCAAACCAACTTCATGTATGGGTGGTTAGAGTCTTGAGGGTGACTTTGGAAATGCCCAGTTCCAGATCCGTCGCATTGCGCGAACCGCTGGCGGTTCAATTCCAGGATCTGGCAAAAACCTCGGACGGGAGTGTCAGGATGAGCGCCTTGGTATGTCGTTGCATGAAAGCCGATGAGCAAAACATGTGGTGCTGAAGCTGTTCCTCTCGATGCTACAAAGGACTGACTTCCGTTGAAATTCCGAACGGCATGAGGGGCGCAACTAAATACAAGAAAGAAGCTCAGCCAACCTGATGTGCACTCAACACGGTGGGCTGGGAGGGATCCACATAATAAGCTCGGCATAAGCCCTGGAGAAGTCAATGTATCATTATTTGGATGCCCCCACCCAGGGTCTACTCGCGTTCTAGGACGCTGCAACAGCCAAAACCATACTAACATGGTTGGATATGCAGGTTGATATTGCCCTTGTTTAAATAAGCCAGGTAGTAGAACCTCCCAGGAGTCCCAATAACCAACCGGTGCCTTGTATTCGCTGCCAGCCCAAATCCATGGCAGGGATTCATACATTGACAAATAAAGTACGATTTGACAAAGTGATCAACTTGACCTGAGCTGGAAACAAATCCGAACGTGTCATGTAATAATGGCCTTTTTTGGCACCTGTGTGCTTCGTGCCGCAATGGCCACAGAACCGCCGAAGGAGGAACCATAAGAAGTCCCTCGACTTTTTTCGCAGGAGCTTTGAGGGTTGTTTTGCAGGTTCCACCAGGATGGGCTTGTCTCAAACAGGGGAAGCCCAACTTGGTGGTTTGCCTTTGGTTTTCCCTACCATCCAAGAAAGGGGGTCCTCTCCAAGGAAGACGCCCATCGCCGCCCAAGTTCCCGCGTCAAATGCACCGAGTCGCGGCCATCTCACACCTTGGCATCGTGGAGGGGCCGCCGGCGCGCGGCGCCTGAGGCCGGCTGGCAGGCCCTACAGTAAAACGACAAGAAAGGTGCGACAACCCTCAAACAACATGCTGACAGCAGGGAATCGGAAAGGCTTTTGAAAACCCAAAGTGTTGACTCTGCTTTCGGAAAGGTCAAAATCCAGTTTTGCCGCTACCAATCCTGCTGCATCAGCAGCCGGGACAAAGGAAACAAACACATCATCCTGATCTGCTAACATTCATGCCCAAACTTTCTGCTGTAGCTGCGGTTCAAGTCCAAGCCAAGCTTGTAGCACCGATACCGCACAAGTCTAAACCGCTGGGTCACTCGTCCCCTTTCCTTGCCAAGAACTTGTGCCATCAGGCTTTCACTTTGGTGCAAAGAAAACACAGGTGGAACATGTCTGATGTCAAAGTTGGGTGTCTGTTTCTATGAGACTTTAGTTTATCACGTTAATGGGGATCCCCTTGGTATTCCATGCACGTGGCACTCCAACCAAATTTGCCACAGCCATTGGACCAAAAACTAAAGGATAAACACAAGCATGGCGCAACCTTTGTTTCGAGGTGCTGACTTTCAGCACTTCGAGACCAGGCTCATTTGGCAGTCCGATCCGACATGATCCGACACTCTCGCGCTCTTCGTCTCTCCAACTTGCAGGGGGTTCTTGGATGGAAGGGAGAAATAGAAAACCAACCCATAGTTGATTTGCCATTCTCCAATTTTGTCCGAAACTCATAAGACAAGAGCCTTTTCAAGAGGACGGTAGTCTTCATAAAATCAGGCCCGCAATGACAATCGTGACACCTCCCCAATTCATGAATTCCATGCTTGCATGGACACAGTGCCCATCGCAGCCCAAGCCCCTCACCGATGGAATTGATCTTTGCGAGACATCGGTGCTCTAAGGGGCAGCAATGAACAAATAACACGTTCACCCCCCTGAGTGGACAAAAGGTGCTTCGTCTTGCTTCCTGCGGGGCCTACACACATCCGAACTTTTTGCTTGCCGTCGCAACAATCAAGAAGCTTAGGAACTCAGGGAGTGAGACTTGCGACATCATCTCTTCTTTTGGGCTGGGTGGAAAATCTATAGAAAAGCCACATTAGGATTGGGACCTGCGAAGGCTTCAGCTCACCACTCGCGCCTTCCGATGCGTGCGAGCCCTCAGAGAGCGACTGAAAAACTGGCGACATGTCCCCCAAGTGAGGAGGCTCCAGGTTCATATTGAACACCACAACCACACAGGATGGATGTAAGAAGGACACACAGCATCTTACAGGGTGCATCAAGGCTTCCACACATGGGGTTGGAGTTCCCATGTTGGTTGTCGGGAAGATGATATGTTGGTTGATCCCTACCTCACATTGATGGATAGACACAATCAAACACCAGATCTAACCTTGAGCCCAAACCAGCAAAGGGTGTGAAAAACAGCCCTGTTTATCTTGATGGTTTGTCTACCTGGATCAGGCTAGGTGCCTCTATGGTATTCTCTCGTGTCCAAAACTGAATCTATCAAAGTGTAAGTCAGGCGACTTACAGCCTTGCTCTGTGATGATCAAACCTTGTTCAACCAACCAAACTCAACCGAGATTGACCCTTCATTGAATCATGATTCACACAACTGTCACGGTAAACTCAAAATGAGCTCTCATAGCCCCTTCCTTCTTTGAAAGAATAATCCAAAAGGATGCCGGTCGCAGCTACTTGAACCACGCCTGAAGCATTTGATTGAAGCATGCAAAGGCATACCCACCACTCACACGAAACATGGAACCACCCATCCTCTAAATTTGGGGGGAACCCGAAACATGGCCGATTAGCCCCCTGGATGTCCCCTTTCAAACGACGCCCCTGTTGGTTCACCAACTACGACAGAGCAATACTTGCAACCTCATTCTTTCTTGGAGGGTCCCAAACCCACCAAAATGAAGAGGGACATTCTTCGAGGGTTCATTCTTAGAGAGTCTCCAAAAAGGTACAATCCATCCAACCCGCCTGCGGCCGCGCGAGGTGCGAGAACGCCAGCTTCCGGGGCGACTGAGGCGAGCTGTGGGCAGATGGGGTTCCGGAGCCCAAAATCCCACCAGGACCCTGAACGCCCCAACGGCTATCAAATTTTTAAACCTTGGGCCTTGGGGTCTGGAGGGTTGATTGGTCCACCATCCCCCCCAACCCCCCCCCCCCCCCGGCGCCGGGCGCCTTGCCCGACAGCACCGGCAGGCGATTGCGGGGCGCTTCCAAGACCGGCCCCGCGTGGGCCACGTGCACTTCGCCCACCTGTCAACCCGCGACGCTCGGACATCCGGAGAGTCATAACCAAACCCTCCCGTTCCCCGCCCCTCTCGCAAGGGGAGACACATGGCAACCTTGAAAAGGGAAGCTGAAGGCAAACAAAAAATTGTAGCCTTGCGGTTCAATGGTCCTTTGGGAAACAAGAAGACCCCAAACCAAATTGACTGATGACACCTTTAACACTATAAATCCATAGGGGTCAACTGCGAGATAGATACCCAGCTTTTGGGTTTGGCTCGGTTGGTCGCGGGGTGAGTGCTGCTAGCTGACCAAGGCGACTTTGCCATGCCACAGACCTTTCCAAAACACCGGGAGGACACGCAGGGTCAATTGTGATGTTGACCCCCAATAAATCTACCTGGAGGGGATGTCTCAGAAAGAAGCCCTCTGACAAAACACCCGCTGTTTGTCAACCACTTGCTCGCCAGCCAGGCTTGAGTCTGAACCAAAAAGCTGCTTTGCACTATCCCAGCACACGCGTGTTGCTCTGAACATGGTTCCTGAACCTGTTGGGCGCTAGCCTGTTTCTTATCAGCGGAAGCCAACTTTGGATTGGAGGTTTGAACCCTGCCCACAAGCTGGTTGATTTCAATTCCAAGGCGATGAGAAGACAGGTTTGACGACTTCCCTGTTTTAAGCCCCCGCCCTGCGCCCCATGACCCTTCATAGACCGGCCAGCCTGACGACCGAGGCCCCCATTCCAGCAACCAGGGCTGCCGAAGACTTTGCCTACGAGCAGGCGCCAGCAGCACCGCTTGTGAGCATCAGTTTTGCGCGTTGGCAGCATTGACAAACAGCTGGCAAAAAAAAAA